TAATTATTTTCGTTTGTATCTATAATATGACATATTGAGGTTACGTTTCTTTACAAACCTCCAAAAACTGTATGCGACTCTGTCGGTAAATCAAACCACTCCAGCATCCCCTTAACTTGCACGATTGAAGTTACGCGAGGTCTTCAGAGTTGCTTGATATACAAAGCGTCGAATTACATAAAAAAACCGAGGCTTCTTCGTCAAACTATAGATCATTTGTTAAACGGTAATTTTCTTCGTGAATTAAATAATTTGTAGGCTTCAGACGTTACATTGTTGTCCAAGCGCGTGATTGTTTTGCTCACTGAACAGACGTGTAGAACATTGTAGCATGGAGCAATGTTCGAGGTCCGAAGACGAGATTCCGAAATGGAAACGAAGACTGCGAGATTAAAATTAAGTCGCGTCCATCGTTGCGTCGAGGATAAGAAGGGTATAAAAGAAATAATCCTTGGTGTTTTGTTATTTCGAGGCTAAGTTAGTTTCGCGCACAGGCCTACGCCACTGGCCGCAATCAGTGTGCTCTTCCTCTGTCCTCTTCCCTGTCCCGGATTCCAATTTTTTTAACGATATAACAAAACCGTTTTTAATCAATTTTTATCGCGGCCCGCACGGCGAGATCCGTCCTTCGGATATTTTACTTCCATTCTAGATAAATTTAATTTATCAAGTTACGTAATGTACCATTGTCCGTTAGTGCGCAGCGTATTTCTCAATTATCGCTGCGATGTTCGGCGTTGACAAAATGGCGTTTTCGAGCATGAAATCGGAGATGTTAAACTCCGCGGCGACTGTCCTCCAAGAGTTGCCTATTTCCCGGCGTGTCGTGCGTTTTCAGGATAAATCGAGGGGGGAAACCGCTGAGGGGCATTGCGGTGTACAGATTTGCGGCATTACTGGGCATTTTTTGGGCATTGGTGCACAAGATTTTGGTCAGCGGTTTCCCCCTCGGAATAAATAAACTTTCGCAAATCCCGCGTTCGATCGCGGCCGGCTTACATGCTGAACTGTTTGTTGATGAAATCCAGTGGCGTTTGACACGGTGGAGACAATCGATCCCGATCGAAGAGGCGATCTACCGCAAACCCTTCGCAAAGAACTCCCTTAACGGGCACTTACGGTATGTTGCAGATCTGCAAAGACTCGTACAAATGCGATTGCACGGGGATAAAAGGACAGCCAGGATTTCCTGGAATACCTGGACCTCACGGAACGGAGGGACTCCCAGGTGACATTGGACCGGACGGACCCCTCGGACCCAAAGGCGAGAAAGGAGCGGCGGGGGAACATGGAGGCACCGGAGAAAAGGGCTACCGGGTAAGCAAAATTGCTTTGATTCTATTAAAAAGTAGATTGATCACCCGAGTCGAAATTTTGCTACTATTTTGACACTTTTAAGGATAATTTACACCTACTTAGCTGATCTATACACCTACATAGATTAGCAATAACCTACTTTGATGACATTATATTTTTTTACTCCTCCCTTGAATCTTTAATTTTAAAAATGCACTTTAGCTCCTACTTGAAAGGACCTACTTCAATGCTAAATTGGCGAAAGTAGAAATTTCCAACGCTATCAGTTTTTAAGTATAGGAGTAAATTTTGTACTTGCAGTTCTACCTCTTTTACTGTCTGTCTTGCTATATAATAGAATTAATAGTTCAACATAGAGCCAAAATTTTGACTCGGGTATTTCGCTCTCTTCCAAGCGATGCACAATTCGTCGGAGATTTTATAAAACGTAGCGTAGAATCAGTTACGTGATAATTTAATGGCACAATGCGAGAATATATGAACCTTTTAGTTCCATCGATAAAATAGATCCAGGCATTGACGGTGTAAAATTGTGAGAATATAGTTTGCGGCGAGAAACTTGAAACTATTTGCTGAAAGTGTTGACATAAAACCAGTTTTATTTCATATTTCTACGTCGGAAGGTTTAAGTAAGCTGTTACGTAAAACCTTTCGTAAAAAAAAATCGCCTGATTCTTTTCAAGGGCGCCTGCGGTCGCCGTGTAATTGATATCTGTACGAGTTTCTGAAAGTTCGAGGGGGATATATTTCCGCCGAAAAAGTACTTATTAACTTTATGTAATGCGAACTTATGTGTGTAAAACGTCAGCAACAGCGTTCGAACTCTAATTAATTTACGAAAATTACTTTCGGCGTATACTTCTAGTGCGATAATTCCGTCTATACGTATACCCTGCACATATGTATGTGCCACTGTCAGTTAAACTAATTACAACAGTAATTAGTTTCTTTACAGGCGAGTGTTTCACATTTTAATTAAAGTTCGCGACACGGCGCGAGTTGTTGTTTGCGATAACCGTCGCTAACGGATTTTGGTAAAGTAATCTTGGTTTTGGGGATAATTACACTAATATTCGTTTTCGCAGGAAAGAATTCCGTTTCAGCGATTAACCGCATTATGTAAATACGCAGAAAGTACAATGATAACAAGATGCATGTACTCTTTCCACGGGTTGTTTGTAAAATCCGAATTTCACTTGCAATTAGCCAAGTGAAGAACATTCTATAGATTTCCCGAGCCAAAGTGAGTTACGTGCGCGATCGGTCCAGTTTTATTAATTTATTAATTCATTATTCGAAAATCACGAATGCCCTCAGAAAGGATTTGCGTTACTGAGACAAAAATATTCTTGACGCATTCCTATTTCTCACAACCTTATTTAGTGTAAAAATAAGACAATATCAAAATAAAGTCAATAATTCTTATTCTCCTCTATCGAATTGAAAAAGATTGACTTACTATATTGGGACAAGAGTAACTTATGTAAATGTAAGTTTATATATTCTTGCGTTTATCTTACAACGCGCGATATTCTACAAGAAACGATATATACTGTCGCTTTATTCTAGGTTTTACTATTTTTCGTTTAAGATTACAAAATACTCCTTTCTCTATAAAAAATATGATTGGCGCTACATCGATCCCATTTTATGATACATTCAAGTGTAATAGCATTGGATCCGTAATGTGTTTTTTCTGTGGACGTAAATGACTTAAATTCCGGAACCGGAACGGCAATACCGCGCGCCTCCGGAACTACGCGTGCGACCATTAGGGAGATGAAAAAAGGAGCATCTCCATAATTGGGTCGCCGCGAACGAAAGGGTTGAAAACAAAAAAAGCGGACGCTGATGAGAACGGCAGACGTATTCGTCGCATTCTCGATTCGAACGCGATTGTTCGCCGTGCGACATGTGTTCCGAATGAGACGGGGAAGAAGAAACGAATGAAAAAGAGCGAGAAGAAGGGAAGAAACGCCGTGGCGTCACCGACCAGAAACAGAACGCTTCCAAATGCGGAGGAAGAGGGAAGATCAGCGAACACGAGAGAGGAATTACGGGCGGACGGACACCCACGATGCCCGCCCGCACTACCGACACGCTGTTACACAAAGCTGCGGATCCGCTGTTTCGCAATTTGTCGACAATGTCGACCGGCATCGATGTGCGACACCGTGCGATATGATATGACACGAGACGGGGGGCCCCGCCGTATCGAGACGACACGCGGATCGCCGATTGTGATATTCTAAATTCGAGGATACGCGCTACGGTTCTAAATCACTTGGACAAATTTCGCGCGGAAATGTCCGTCGTCCGATCAATCCGCATTTAATCGCGATTTGTTAATAACAAGATATGCTGCGAAGCTGTAGAATAGATTTAACCGTGCTTTTGCAGTTATTTAAAGTTTTAAAGTCACATTCACGTAATTAATTTTATCTTAGTTTAAAGCTCGATTTAAGCTTTTAATTAACGGAGAAATTAGAATTTTAATTAGGAATCCTAGACTCTGCTTGAAAACCAATTGTGAATTCCGAAAATAATCAAGAATTATTGATATATTCTTTTCCCCTCTCTTATCTTTTCCTTTCTCGGATTGGCAATTCAGATTATGCATGTAATAATTTCAAATATAAAGTAAATAAAATATACAGATAGAAAGAACAAGTCGTGATTCTTTGTTTTAGTTCGTCTTTTAAATTTACTTGTAATCAAAAGACTTTTGATAAAAAGATTCACTTGCTTTATCCACAAATATAAACTGTGTGCGCTCTCGATTAATTTTCACATGTAATTAATTTTGTTATAAATTCTATTTTCACTCACAGAAAAAATTTTCGGATTCAATTCTGTCACACTTGAATGTATCATAAAATAGGATCGATATAGCGCCAATCACATTTATTGTAGAGAAAGGAACATTTTAATCTTACATGAAAAATTCTAAAACATAGAATAAAACGATAGCATGTATCGTCTTTTGTCGAATATCGCGGTGCTAACTTAACGTGCGTTGTAAAAAGATAAACGCAAGAATATATAAACTTACATTTGTATAAGCTACTCTTGTCTCGATATAGCAAGTCAATCTTTTTTAATTCGATAGAGGAGAATAAGGAATTGATTTTATTTTGACACTGTCTTATTTTTATACTAAATGAGGTTGCGAGAAATAGAAATGCGTCAAGAATATTTTTTGTCTCGGTAACAAAAATCCTTTCTGAGGGCGTACACTCAGTATTCCACACCGGAGTCACGGCTGCTACGAGAGAAGCGGCAGTTACAACAAACAAACGCACCGCACCAGCTTCGTGAATGACGACTGCAGAAATTTGTATTTCGTTAGGCTAATGAAATTAAATCGCGAAACCGTATTATCGCGTCGTTACACGGGGGTGTGGAACAATTTAGCGTCGCAACTACCGAAATGTCACGAATAAATAAAACGTCACACGGCTGCGCGCGTTACGATAAAAGTGTTGGTGCACGTACGAACGCGGCCGACACATGCCGTGCTTATTAATCGGGCAAATTATTCATTCGCGTGCGGACTGCGAAATAGGACGGCGTCAATCTTCATAACTGAAACTTTAAATTAAATGCTTTACACGACGATTATAATTTGACATCTTTACACGTGCACGCGCCCCTTATAATTACTTATACATTCACTTGGCTTCACCGACTGACGATAAGTACACGAGACGTCCCAGAGACAAATAAACTGGGGAAGGCATGTCCGATCGCACCGATCTAAGCTACAATTTCATTCTTGTGAGGAATACGAAGATTCGATATCGAAAATTTAAGAATTTCAACAATTAATAAAAGGCTCTAATGCGAAAACGCAAGTACGAAGTAATAAAGGAGTAAGAGCCAAGAGAGGATGTTAGTGTCTAAATAAATAAATTAAATTTCGTTCGAGATACTTTTCTAATGCAGTGCATTATTTTGTTATTGAAGATGTCGGGACAAAAGCTTTTACACTTGTACATCTTTTTTTTTAATTGTTTAAGACTCCTTCTAGATCGTTTAAAGTTCGGCCGGGAAGAATCCTCGCGGAGAAACGCCGACGACCAATCTCGTCACAGGGGATTCGTTCGCTACCGTGGGCGCGCATTTCGTAATCGTCTGACTGGAATTCGAGAAGAAATTCCAAGAAAAATAATGTCGAAGACCGGACGAGGCTTGTCGTCCTGATACGTCGCGAAAGGGCCCGCTTTCGGAAAACTTTCGATCGGCGCGCACAGAAAGTGCGTCGCAAATCCGAATCGTGCAACAACGAAAATTCCGGTTATCACCGGATATACGGGTCGTCGTGCTCCGCCACGTGTGCCACAATTCGCCAATTACAACGGCCCGTAGCGTGTCACGGGCGACTCATTTGCGGCGTGCATCACTTGCTAATTACGTTACATCGATCGTTCGACCGCGGTGTCAGTAACATCTTGCATCTTTGATCGATGAAGCGTAATTATAATCTTCGCAAAAGCTACGAAAGCCCGACTCGTGTACATCTCGGTGAAACTCCGCCCGGGGAAAATTCTTAAACTTTGCTCGCACAGAGGTGAGCTTAAAGAGTTGAAAAATAAATTGCTTATTTCGAAAATCTAAATAAACGGGAGCGTGAGAGATTCGTACGCTTTATCCACACGTTTCTCGCAATGCAGTTGCAAATGTAAGACGAATGTAAAGGACAATGTGCGAGTCCACGCTTGAGAACCAAAAAGACAGATATATACAAAGCTACACTTCATAAAATCCACCCTCTAAAGGTCAATTAGCGCGTGATCACTGTGAATTATTCAGTGCTACACTTATAACACTATTTTCAGTGATAATCCACCGATTGACATTCCCTTCAAGAGAACATCTGTCCCATTGAAAGACGTTTACTCGGATTGCATTTTACAAATTGTAGCCTGGTCTTTTCGTTCGCTTCGTGTGAAAATTTCCAACTCGGCGGGCCGATAAAAATCGATGGCCCGTAGACACAG